CTGTAATTCCATTCTCGCCCTGGGACTTGCCGTTTTTAAGGTGCTGGAGAGCCACTCTAATGTCGCTCAAACTGACGTCCGGCATATCATCGAAATAGTGTCGGATAAGACTTGCTCTTGGATCGCTACTCACACTTACGTATGGCACCGATGATGACATGTACTCGGCTGCCCATAGAACCTCTGAATCTAACTCAAAATTTCTGGTGTCAAGGAAACAATGCTGCCAAACTCGGTCTTTGGATACGAAAGTTGGTTTTTTCTGACAGACAGATCCCTGGCAAAGACTATGGAGCCTTGGTTCCGCTTGATCGCTTCTTCAATAGAGCTGTACTCAAGTTGCATAAGTCCCGCCGCATATATTTGGAGATATGTTTGTTCATTTACCTGTATGCTGCCAAATCTGCTGAAGACTGCAGATTCATTTCCCGTCTAACAGCCATGACATTAAGAGTGTGATCGGAGAGTTTTAGTGTTCTCCTGCGGCGGGTCTTGCAGAACTTTGCTCCGACTGCAACGACAGTTTCAACGAGCTTGTCATTCATAACGTCCACTGCATTGTAATCTTCTAGGCAATTAAAACGGTTTTGTAACTCGAGCTGAAAGGCTTTGGGACGTAAATTAGAGTGCGAGGGGAACGGAGCATTGACTTCATTAGACGAGACCTCTTCAACTTAACGTATAGGTTCAGTGTGCCTCAAACCATTCGGTGATCGCTGCCAGCTTTCACCCTCGCGATCACTGAGACATCAATGTCGTCAACAGTTGGCGTCTGGTCGTCATAATGAAGTCAATGTTATTTTTTGTTAAACCGTCGGGGCTCGACCAGGTCCACCTCCTATGGGGCCGCTTTTGGAAGAAAGAATTAATCATAAAGAGTCTCTCTTTCTTCATGAAGTCCGCCAGCTGCTGGCCCCTTGGGTTCCGTTTCTGTTCCAAATTTACCTTACTTCAGCTACAGTTTTTGTGCCACTTTGCGTTGAAGTCTCTAAACCGTATATTGGGTTGGAGGAATTCGGCTCTAGAGATATCCTCTTTTTGCCGATTTGACTGTATGATGGTTTGGTATTCTGAGTATCAGGTACGCCCTTAGTACGGCCCAGGTACGACCCTCGTCGACACACTCTCAATCTTTACAACGTTGTTGACATGAGACTGGTGGACGATAAATCCGACACCTCCTTGGGACAGATGGTCGCCCTCCCGGTGATAGAACAAGTTGTCGGATTCGAGGATTACTTTGTCCTCCCCCTCTCGTCGGACATCGGATAATCCTTTTATATGCAAGCGCAACTTGTCTACCTCTTCTTCCAGCTCCAGTATCTTCTCGTCAGTTCTCAGGGTGACTGCGTTATATGTTGTCAGGTCGAGTCGTCGTAGGTGGCAACCGAATTTCCACCGGAGATTCTTAGCACCACCTGCCCCGCCGTTACCATGGTGGCCACCGTAGGGAGATATATCGGGGCCGCCGGGGACTGGGGGCCGTTTTTTGTGTCGTTCCTCATGGGGGGGGGGGGGTTTGCCAGAGTTGCCACGCTTGCCGAGCGGGTTGACAACCGCAGGAATATGCTGTTGCCCAACTCCCACTTGCCTCCCTCTGTCGCCTCTTACGACACCTACGGGAAGATATGGGGTAGTGGATATTCTCAGCCGGCACTGCACTACTACGCGGCACATATAATAATTGTAATTTTTTGTAGAATTTTATGTTTAAAAAATAACCCCCCTGGTTATCTTGTTAATTCTACCTAGGACTAGGACAAAGGTATTTTCCGAAACAGTAGTAAACGAAAAATTTGTTTTCAAAATGTACTATGTAATAATCTACTTTGAATATAAAATTATTCTATTCTATTCCTTATCTACTTCTATCTATAATACTTTCAGTCCTGTCCCTAATCTAGTAATAAAGGCAAGTTTTGCAACCAACCAACGAACTTACAATAACATGGCAAGTGACTAATGTAGCATACAATAGATCTATATTGCCTCATATCATATAATTATTTAGTGAGAAAGGGTTTATCGTTCTCGCGTTCGAGGTTGAAGCTGACGCTCTTCGAACTTTTTTAAAATTAAAAAACGTTACTAACACTGTAGGATTTTTTCCGTATTATAGAGGTGTTTTATAACATTAACTGCAACAAACTTTTGTTCCGTGTGATGTTCGAACCCAAGGCCCTGCAATGCTGAAATTAAATGCCTATCTTACTGCACAACTGAGACATATACCCGGTATCAGCACCCAGGAACACCGCACACTCCTCCCTGAGAGGCCGCAGACCGTATGGAGGATGAAGTACAGCATATTCCGCACACATACTTTTAAATTTTCTTTTTACTTTCTATATTATCTAGAAACAACGAAAGAGCATGGCCAAACAGCCAGGGTCTTAGCGCTTGCTCCAAATTTTGCATACTGTAACACTGCCAACGAAGAAAAATATTGTGGGGAAACATGTATGTCATAAAATATTTCGGGGACATGTAAAGTCTGCCAACACGCACTGTAGAAGCGCGCCGGAAAATAGCCGCTTAATACTGATGTGTTTCGTATGGTGAGTGTAGAGATTCGGAGACCCTTTTTTACTGGAAACGAGGCATTCCATCTTAGTCCTCAGGGGTGACGACGCATCCGCGTTTTAACTCTTAGTCGAGGATGAATGTAGATGTCTATGGGCCACAGCATCCACTTACAACCAGGTGGACTGCGTGCTCGTTTGTCACCCTTACCCTACAAAAAAAAACTCTCAGAAAAAAGAGTAGGCCAATGTCCATCTGTGAGACATGTATAGGCTGAACTTTACTTTTTAATAAGGAACGGTGAAGGGTGAATTACCGTAATTCACGGGTTAACGTCGCAGTCTAAACTAATTAAATTCGAAGTTAATTTACTTTAACCTACACGGCTCTTTAAGCAAGGATCAGCTCTAAAGTCAGCACTAAGTGCGGGTTCGTAATTACCTACTTTATTTAAATTAAACTCTTGGCCGAACACCATGGTGCCCGATTTTCGCGCCCCAATATTATGTTATTATCTTATTATCAGTGTAAGACGACCCCCCACTAAATGGTTGACGACCTGGTAAGAGATGAAGGAAGTCGATGGATGCAGGTGGCTCAGGACCTTTTTTGGGGAAAGTTTATGTTCAGTGGTGGACTTGTGAAGAACTGTAATGATGATAATGATGATGATGATGAATGTCTAGTTATAAGTGGCGTAATAAGTGCACGTATCAAAAAATATTTTACCATAAATAACATTCATAATCATAAAGATTGATGCTTTGACTCACGTCCAGGGTAGGCAGAAACTAATAATGTTGTTTAACATGAACCTTACACACCTCTATCGCCTCTTAAACGTCCATATACCCAAACATACATGCGCGTCAGTTAAGGGTCCTCTTGATTTGACCAACCTTCAAATATATCGTCAGTTTGGTCGATAGACTTCCGTCTGGGTTAACTGACCCTTGCCGACTATGTCAATCACATCTTCAACATAAACTTGCTTTGTCATCTTTTCCTCATTCATTCTTTTCACATGACTAAACCACCCTCTCATTCAGAGTTACTCCTAACATTCTTCTTCTACCAGTCAACTTTCCCTACCAAACATTAAGGTTTATATTGTAAATTGTCATATGTGCCTTTTTTGACATATTCTGACATCCCATAAAAGAGTTAAGAGGCTCATTTACTCTGTGTCCTGTATTGACTAATCGTTGTATATATATTTGTCATGTCTACCATGCAGACTAATTTCATAAACTTCTAATTGCAAATTAATATAGGTGATAGTGTGCTGGAAGAGGTAACTATAATAATTATAAGAAAGGCATCGTGCGTTAGACGTAATACAAGTCATAAGCATTTTGAAACTTTTGGTACCGCATTCGCCAATTCCCCTAAGAAGATGATGGTGATTGATATATATAATAGTCTCAAAACCTCCTTACTTCTATGGCAAACAAAACTTTAATAAATTTTAATAATCTTATGCGTCATTATATGTCGAAAATTTTTAATAGTTTTGTACACACATGAGATACTCGAGAACTTTTCTTCCCCATCGATTGACGGTTCTGCGATCTATATGGCTGGCACTTTGCCATTTCAGCGTACTACTCCGTACTCGTGTCGGTTACTTTGGTTCTACTATGGATAAGTCCTCATTTTTAATTCTATCACGCAGAGAAACCCCAAGCATTGCCCTCTCCATAGCTTGCTGGGTGACGTTGAGCTTCCTTATACGGCCGGCGGTGAAGGACCACGTCTCATATTCATCGGTCATGAATGGCAACATACACTGGTTATAATATCTTGTTTTGAGATTTTGAAGTACGCCTAAATGTTCTCGAGTGGCAACCTCGTACCGGCAACCGAGTGCAGGGCGTCCCTCTACTAGATGGAGTGACTACCTGGTAAGACATGAAGGAAGTCAATGGAAGCAGGTGGCTCTGGACCGTGCTTTGTGGCATTCTTTGGGGGAGGCCTATGTTCAGCAGTGGTCTTGTGAAGGGCTGTAATGATGATGATGATGATGATATAAGATACTGGACCGCTACTCAATTAAAATTCAAAAAATGATTAGCAGATACCTGAGACTTCGGTTTGATGTGACTATTGCAGTAATTCTCATTTAATGCGCATTTCGGAACAATACAAAAAATTAAATAACTCATTAAAATTGTTTGTTAAGCATACTTAACATCTTGTTAACATGTATATAATAAACAAAAAATATATTATTTTTATTAGTATTTGTTTTAAACTATTCACATATTTACATGACTTAAATATTATGAAAATAAAACATAAATGTGTAGATTTACATTGTTTAATTTTTTTCATAATATAAAATTTATAAAGTAATAAACAATAACTTATTGCTTTATGAAAATAACAAACGATTCTGAAATCATGTTGAAGAAGATGACTATTTAAGCGAATGATGTGAAAGAAGTCTCCTCTTTTAAAACGTATCGTTCTGTTTTTTAGACCATGAACATGTTCGTACTATTTACATTAATCCCTCGCACGGTCTTTATCACAAGCCTATTTGGTGAACCAAGAGTCGATATAATCTTCATTACCGTGCTTAAAGGGTTACTCTGGACCTGTTAAAAAAATAAAGTATTCTGAAATTCTTAATCATACAACTGAAAATGTTCACAAAACAGTGCATATCAATTAAAAAAATCTGCCGTGTGGTGGGCGGCTTAAGAGAATACACCATCCTATTTCGTCCCGTGGATGTAAGACGCATAAAGGGTAATGTCAGAAAATTTTAATAGACTTCTTATGAACTGACGAAGAGTGGCAAACTGTTAATTCAACCTACAAAGCAATGAATAATGAGGTCTGTATTCAGTAGTACCTGAAAACTGTCTTACATCACTTTAAAATAATGTTAATTTTACAAACTTACAATTACTGAATATTTTAGTGTATGCCATCTATCTGAAACTATTACATATTTCTGGAATTTTTCGTAATCTCGTCTTACGACACCACGTAGTGCTACTTATGTAAGCTTTACTGAAATTAATTTCATCGTTCCGTATTGCATTTTTATATAGTATAAGGGTAACAAACGAGCACCGATTAAGAAACAAAATGCAGATGCGTTGTAACCCCTGAGAACATAGATACAATGAATCGTTACCAGTAAAACGGGTCTCCTGTTCTCTAAAGTCATCATACGGCATACAGCAGCTTTAATCTACTTTTTTAAGCTGGTATGCTGTGAGAGCTTGGTACTCTCCGTTCAGCCAACCTATTTGTGCTGCAAGCTGCAACCATAATGTAGCTGCGACGTTACTAACAGGCTCACGTGACTTGTTCGAAAGTGAGCATCAATTAGAGTTGCAAATATCACTTCATGCTTTCCGGTTTTAACTTTATTTTTTCATTTATACGGGTCAAGAAGGAAGAGGTTATTGAAGACAATTGAATTATTTGAAATGCAAATATTTAACGAAAAATATCACGAAAAGGGAATCACATTATTATTCGGTCCTTACATATGAAATTAGGGTTTTGTCGTACTGACCACTTTAATCTGAAATATTTCCTCTTTGATTAAGAATTCCAAATTCAAATTTATAAATTCATTTAGCTGGTACATTTGAGTTTTCACACAGTCATTCATTTGTTTTTTCCTCATTACTTTTTTCTTTGGCGTCGCTTATTACCGCACAATGGAAAACATGAATATCGTTATATTTACGAGTACGAGTTCTACCGTGGTACCAGTGCTGCAGAAACAGCTCTAAGGATTAATGATGTGTACGGCGCTGGTGTCGCAACAGAAAGAAGGTACGTTTTTGGTTTCAACATTTTCGTTCTAGAAATTTCGACCTTCAGAACCAACCCCGTGGGCGGCCAGAGACCAAAATGAAGAATTAAAGGTTATTGTGGAAGCAGATCCATCACAAAGCACTTCAGAGATAGCTACAGGCTTCACGGTAAGTGATAAAACTGCATTAATCCTCTTGAAGCAAATAGGTAAAGTAAAAAAACTTGAACGACGTACCTCATGAATTGAGTGAATCGAGCTTGCAAACACGCGTCGACTGCTGTGTTACTTCCGACTCCCCTTCCGACCGAGCAAACCGACTCAAAAATTAAGTGATTTTAAATCGAGTCATTACTTGTGATTAAAAGCGGATAAAATTAAAGTAGTAAAGTTACAGCCTCTATACGTCCCACTACTGGGCACGGGCCTCCCATCATTTCTGAGAGGAAATGAGAGGAAAGCGGATACTGTACGATAATCGGAATTGCTCGTCGCAATGGATAAACCCTGGAGACACAACCAAATCCTACCCTAAACGAAAATTGACTCAGAAAAAGTTACTTATGAGAGTTTGGTGGACCATCGCCGGTGTCGTTCACTACAGCTTTCTAAAATCTGGCCAAACGATTACGACAGTAATCTATTGTCAGCAACTGCAAACCATGACGAAAGAACTAGCTGCTAAACAAAAGAGAATCGCTCTAGGCCACTGCTGCTTCACGACAACGTAGGACAACACACTGCACAATAAACAACCACTAAGTTAGATGAGCTACAATTGGAAAGTCTGCGACATCCATCGTACTCCCCGGGCCTTGCTCTAATAGATTACCATTTTTTCCGGAATTTGGACAACTTTTTACAAGGGAAAAATTCAAATCTGATGCGGCAGTCCAAACCGCCTTCAAAGAGTTTATTGGTTCTCGTCCCCATGGTTTTATTTAGTAAAAGGGATCAATGAACTACCTATGAGATGGCAAAAGTGCATAGAAAACAACGGTGCAAACTTTGATTAATTAAATATATTTTACAAAAAAAAATTGACTTTATGTTCCTTCCATACAAAGCGCCAATTTCATATGTAAGGACCTATTATTTATCTTTTTTTTTTTAAACACGTTTGCTACAAAAGGTAGTTGTAATTATAGTTGTAAATTATTTATACGCACCTTGATTTTAAAGTTACGCAGCAGCTGAAATTAAAAATATCAATATAAATATAATAATTGTTAGAGTTTAAAAAGACTTAAACAACACTCATCGATCATGAGCAGCTATACCCCTGGTTAGGCTAGGTAATACAATAAATTCATGCCCTAACATTCATAGTTAGATATACAGAAGTCAAGCTAATATAAAACATCTAAAAGTAGACATAGTTATATTTTTAGACGCTTTATATTATATTATTATAATGACGAAGATTCGAAAGTGGTTCCGAGATACGGTGATAGCATTGCGGTTGTGCTGGGGGCAGTAAGTACTGGGACGTGCTTAGAGAAAAGCATAGCGATGGCGTGGCCCCGGTTGCGTTCTGTATGGAGATCCCGGTACCCCATGTAAACGTTGATGGTGCCCACCGTGGGGTTTTAGCCAGTAGAAGTCCGGCAAAACCGTCCCGCTGCCCCGCAGTGAAAGGAGGATTTCTCAACGACAAAAAAGCACGTTTGTGGCTAGCAATTACTCGTGCTATCTTTTTGTAAAGCTTGCAATGCTTACATAATAAGATAGATGGTAAAGTGAGATGCAGAAATAAACCCAACACATTTGGAGCCTATAGTCAACAATTTATTTTTGCACAAATATTTACTCAAGCTCTCAGGACTTAATAACAAGGATGACAATCCTTATAACCTCTACCAGGAGTAATATGTTGTGTACTTATGACAGCATACGTAAATATTATTCTAAATCGGCCGTGAGAACATGATAATAATAAGGGAAGCTGAGATATCGGTTATGGGTCATATATGACATAAGGCAAAAAGGACCCGTTCATACACTAGTATGTACCTATCTAAACTAAGAACTAATGCCTGTGAAGATGTAAATGGGTTCTGTAGATGCCCAACATGAATCAGTTGTCAAAATGAGTTCCTCTAAATACATTTTCAGTAACAGCCGGAGTCAGGAAGTTGGCGGTGTTTTCAGTCTCGTGCTTTGAAAAGGACATAAAGCCATAGTTCCTGTGCCTGATCTCTCTCTGGTCGTTTCTGATAACAGCCATCCATCTAAAAGTGCTCGGACTATGAGAGTGAGGGAATAGAGAGCGCACATGCGCTTGCACACTTGTGCACTGTAATCCTATCCTGTACAGAGACTAGTCTTCTATGAGCCTTGCCACCGTGACCAAGATCTGAAGGATATTATTTCTATCTAAAGTATTATTATAATTTCAAAACTTGCCTTCTGCTGGGGGTGCTGCCGGAGCTGGTGCAGGCGTGGCAGGCGTTGATTCTCCTTCCTAAACACAAAAAAGAAATTAACGTGCATTTAGGCTCTCCAAACTGCGTGTATTAATTACTTTAGCTTACGAATTAAAGCTAAAAAAATTATTGAACATGTAAAAAGCGAAAAGCATCATTTTGGTTTCAGCTAATATTGCTTGTTTTCGAAAATTGTAATATGCCTACCTTGATAACGATTATAAATCTTTCGAAACGTGAACGGCAGATTTTGTACCGCACACTTTTTTTGTTGTTTTGTTATAGAAATTGTACCAGGTATTAAGGCAACTAAGCCGCTTATTTTCATGTTAGTGTACTATTTTTAGAACTTCGGATTAATTAATTATATAATTAAAATATTTTAATAAATAAATGTAAGTAATATAATCGTAAATTAAAGGCAAATATGTTTTTAGAAGTTGCCATATGTAAAGTAAAACAAATATTGAATTGTTAATTAATTATATTGAAATAAATATAACACTATTTATAATTAAACACTTACATATTATGTCAGAGAGTGCATAATTGTTGCATAAAATCATAATGTTCAACGATTTAATGATAGAAATGACTTTCATCGTCATTTTTTGTTCATATGCCAATTACTTATTGAAAAAATCAGAACTTCATCATTATCAAACTGTTGCAGTCCGCTGCTGGATATAGGTATCTCCTAATATACCGCACTGAGTAGATACCGATCCTCATCTCAATCTAATGGTAAGTAAACCACTACAAATATAAACAATATTTATTTGCCTATACGTAACAATCTACATTGGGACACTAGTACATAACCAGAAAAATAAAACTGGTTATAACTTTTATGTCCCAAATTTTAAAAATCTAAGAATAAATAAAAAGGGTTTGTGTATCCTACTATCTACCAATTAAAACAAAAAATATCCCAAAACAAGAAATTTTATCGGTACGAAATTCCCACACAAGCCTGCCATGTATCTTTATGTCTGTTTTCGTCTGCCTGTATATATTTTGATGTTGTGGCTGCCTACGAAGAAACGATTTTTGACCTGTCAGATCAAGACTGGCAAAAGTGTTTGCAGAGTTGGTTGATATATATATATATATATATATATATATATATATATTATATATATATATATATATATATATATATATATATACGCACGTAACAGAAAGTAGTTTGTTCAGAATCGTTTACTGAATCGATTCCTACCATTTTTAATACAGGTAAATTTTTATCCCAAATATAATTAAAACTACGTAAATTACAGTCACACTATTTAGTACATTTCTGCACAGTCAAAACAAACTGAAATGGATCCTAACTTAAGGCAATAAGACTTTTAAGAGTGCAGTTTTATTTGTATTATTACTAATTCTGTCATTCAATAAAAATAATGAAAAATGAACTTTATTTCAAGCACGTTAGTCTTTGCGTTCGTAGATTTGTACTGTGACCACAACATTCTTACGGAATTAGTATTACTAATTTGATAAATAATCAGTGCATAAAAATGTTTAACTAAAATTTCAGCATATGTATTATGATTATAACATAATATACTAATTGGGGTGTCTGAGGGTGTGCGTTAATTACGTTACATATTGTATATACATTTAACAAGTAGTCCATGTTCGGGCAATGACTCGAACGCTTTTTCAGATTTTTAAATATCGATTTGATAATCTATTTCAACTGTCGATTAGGTACTTTCCTATCCCTACCATACTTTGTTCCAGTCATCTTATTTCATTTTTACGAATGGGTCGGCTTGACCGCCATAGGACCAAAAGCTAGTGGTTAAACCTTATTAGTTAGTAAAATAGAACTAAATAAAACACACAAGTGTCAACCAACGGCGTGTGAATCGTATTTTAAATAAAATAATATAAATAAAAAAATATAAAACAGATAATGGTTAAAAAAAATAAAAACAATCGTCTCTTATTAGGGGTCCCACACAGCTGAGTGTTATTACGAAATATGGTAACATTTATAAATGGGATGGGACGCCCTAGACGAAAGTTTATCGACCAAATTGACGATATATTGAAAACGGACCAGATTAAGAGTACCCTTAAAGACGAGTATATATGTGTAGGGGATGTAAAGGAGGCGCAAAATGTGTGTCAGAATCATGTCAAATATAAGTCCGTAGTCTCTGACTACACCTCTGGGTGGGTCATATGTGAATATTTGCGTTTACGAATGTTATAAATTATAACAAGGCGTTTATAAAAAATTTTTTAATTTTTATATATTATATATATATATAAAATTTTTATATTTTATAAATTATAACTTTTATTTATTACAACATTTATCTGGGTAATAATAACAAATTATCGTTGCACTGTACTTTCTCATGCTTTTGTTGTACAACGCAACAAACAAGAAAAAGCAAGCTCTTTAATAGTCAGATTTGAATTCACCTATACATTCCTTCATTACCGCCTATCAAAAGTCTACTTCTCAACATAGAAATCCACCGTAAATTGTCTCAAAGGTTAAGATGTGCCATAGTATCCAAGCTTAATCTTTAATTTCCTTTTTTGAGTTTTTATTTGGAAGATGCTCCTGCCCTTGAATATCTGTTTTGTTTCCATATGTCATCTCCTACGATACTCACGGGTTGATGAAGAAGTAAAGATAGTATATTCGAACTAACATTTACAAAATGTTAAACAATATTTTACATCATGTTAGAAAGTCTTCACCGCTGTATGAGCATTAATAACATTTGACAAATTTTAGCAAAATATGACATATTTTTTTATAAAATGATAAAGTGTTTTATAACTTTATTAAACTGTTATGTGGGAGCACCAATAGAAGAATAAATAACAATTTGTTTCGTATAGGTTTAGGATTATATTAATATACATATACATTTAATACACATTTTTTGTGATCAAATGTAGCTACATACATTTTTAAGCTTTCGCTGTTGTACCAGAAGGCTATATTATCATTTCGTTCTTTCTGCCTGTTCCTGCTATAGTATCTTAACTTCGAGTTTTTAACGGAATGAGGTAAAATTGAGTGAAAGACAATGGAGTGAAGAAAGTTTATGTCCGTATTATGAGATAAAAACTTACATATTTCTTTTTCGAATTTTATTTAAATCACCTCCGAAGTTTCAAACACCGTGTCTAATTGGTTCCTATTAGATTCTATTTTTTTTTTTGCTACATTACCAATTATGGTAATCTATAAGGTAGGATAGTAGTCAGGCACTGGCTTATTAAAGTTAATTAATAATGCTCTGCAGATCGTATATGCAATTCATACGATTTTTTCATTGCCTACGGAAGATCAAAGTCATCCCCAAAGAGCATGTCCTTTTGTACCGACCCCGTAAAAGCGAACACTAAGAAAGTTCCCGCCGCAGAGTTTACAGTGTTTTGTAAATTGCATTGATTAAACTCAGACATTTCGTTAATATAATTTTCTATTTTATACCACTGTTTTTTGGTCAAGTCAGAAATGTTTTCATGTGCAATGTCCTAAAACTCAAAAGTAAGTAAAAAAAAATATCACTGCACCCAAAATACTTTTATAATGTTTAATATGATATCGTAATAAAAGTGTTCATCCAATATTGATACAATTTCAAGATTCCATTATATACTAGGCTGCACTAAAAGTATCGGGAATGGAATATTTCCACTGTTCCTGTCATATTAAAATCTTTTTAATTGAAAACTCCTTGGTTTTAAAAATCGAATACCATTTATTTATTTAAAATAAAGATTCTCGGTCTTGTCACAAGGTTTTGTCAAACTTGTTTAGTCGTTGAGAAAATGGAATTGACTCGAGAAAATTCAAGAGCGATGATTTATTATGACTTTCGAAGTGGTTTAACACAAAAACAGTGTGTTGACCGGATGATTTCTGCATTTGGTGATGAAGCCCCATCCAAAACCACAATTTATCGCTGGTTTGCTGAATTTCAATGTGGACGTGTCAAGCTCAGTGGTGATCCCCTTCAAGGTAGTCCAAAAACTGCAGTCATCCAAGAAAACGTTGATGCTGTGCGGAAGCTGATTGAGGAAGATCGACATGTGACATACCGCGAAATTCAAGCAACTTTATACATTGGCATGAGTCAAATACAAATAATCTTGCATGAACAATTAAGTATAAAAAGTTGTTTTCCCGATGGATACCGCATTCGCTCCGTGAAGAGCAAAAATCGGCTCGCGTTACTTGGTGCGTCAGAACTCTCGAAAGATTTCACGCAGGATCCTCAAATGCTGTATACAACATTGTATTAGGTGACGAATCCTGGATATATGCGTACGAACCCGAAACAAAAAACCAGTCACGAGTTTGGGTGTTCGAAAATGAGTTAAAGCCAACAAAAATTGTTCGTTCACAGAGTGTTGCAAAAAAATGGTGGCCACGTTTGTCTCCAAAACCGGCCATGATACGACTATTCCTCTTGAGGGACAAAGAACGGTTAATGCAGAATGGTATGCTGGCATTTGTTTGCCACAGGTCGTTTCTGAACTCCGTAAAGAGAACTACAACCGCCGCATCATTCTCCATCACGACAATGCGAGTTCTCACACCGCACACAGAACAAAATAGTTTTTAGCGCGAGAAAACATAGAATTATTGGACCATCCGTCGTACAGCCCCGACCTAAGCCCTAATGATTTCTATATTTTCCCTAAAATAAAGAATAAATTGCGTGGACAGAGATTTTCATCACCTGAAGAAGCTGTGGACGCCTACAAAACGGCCATTTTGGAGACCCCAACTTCCGAATGGAATGGTTGCTTCAATGATTGGTTTCATCGTATGGAAAAATGTGTCAAATTTCGCGGAAAATACTTCTAAAAACAATAAATACATTTTTAAATAGTAATGTTGTGTCACTTCCTTGATTCCCGAAATTTTCAGTGCAGCCCTCGTACATGCATTGCAATAAAAGGTAAAAATTTCTAATTGCCCGTTGCTATAAATGGAATTTCCAGTTAATTAAGATAAGTAGAGTTGACGGTAATTTCAGTTTTGCAATTTCATAATAACCTGAGTGAATGAGCATAATTTTTAATTTTTTTAATAAGCTTGACAAGCACAATCCATCCGATGGTACTTGGATTTTGTGGCCCATAGACATTTACATTTAACCTCGATTAAAAATCAAAGTGGAGATGCATTGTTGCGTTGCATTGATGCTTTGTTTCCCTGATGAATAAGTGATAATGCTTCGTTTGCAGAAAAAGGCGTCTCCGTTTCGCTTCATACAAAACACAGCAATATCAAGCTGCGATTTAACGCTGGTGTTCTGTGAGAGCGTAGCCCTACCCTGTTTAAACCGAACCATTCGTGCCTATGCGGGTTCTATCACGCCTTAAGTCTTGTTCTATTTATATCATTGTTAAATCTCATATTTCAACCAAAGTCATTCGCTTTTTTTTGTCATTTTTGAAAATAAATAGTTTCTTCATAACTTTCCACGAACGTATAATACAAATAACCCTTCAATGAACCCAACATCACTCTAAGTGAAGCCCGATGGTTTACCACGTTGGGAGGTTTGGCCGGGATAGGTACATGGCTACAAGTGTCGTTGTGTGCATTAGATGATTTACCTGCCTAAATACTAACCACGAGTAAGTGACACTATATCAAAGAATCTTATTCAACAACTTATACGAATTGGCCCTGATGTTTAATTTTTATGTATTTTCTACGAACACATAGTTAGGTTTCACATTTTTCGTTTCTAACTGGGTTTTATTTAATTTTCCATTGGTTAAAATATATAATATCTTAGTAAAAGTGTTCACTCACTATTGAATCAATTCCAGATTCCATATAAGTATTATAATAAAAGGAAAAAGTTCCATTTGCCCGTTGCTATAAACACAATTTCTAGTTAATTAGGACAAGCAAAATTGACGATAATTTCGCTTTTGCGATTTCATAATAACCTCGGGTTCAAATGCGCTCATGAAATTGTTGTCCTACTCCTGATACTCTGCATTCTTCTCATTCTCTCGAAGTTTAGTTTTCTGAAGGTTTCAAATCTACTGCGATTGAATTGTACACAAGTTTTTTTAAACGGGTTATTAAGAGAGCATTCAATTATATATTGACATCCTTGGTTTTAACTATTTGACTTTAGTCTATACGTTGGCCGACTCAAGTGAAGTCGCATCTGAACGATAACCATCCAGTGCTATGCGTACACACAGCAAAGAGTTCTTTTAGATAACATATTTAGTATACATACAAAACACCTTACCTATCATAACATTGCTTGTATGCAAAAGAGAATAATGTTTGTAAATACGGGCATTAATTTCTAACTAAAATACGAGAAATATTTATTTTACTCGACAATGGCGATTGAAAAAGGGTTAGATTTTTATGACTTCTTGATACATTTTGATAAATAAGCTCGTCATTTGTATTGCATGTCATTTATATTTTATATATCACATGCAACATAATGTTTTTAAAGAGATTAAATTGTTTTAAGTGTCTATTCAATGCATATCCTTAAATTTCACCCCGTAAGTATTTTACAACAAATCTTAATATATATAAATTACGTGTCACGTTGTTTGTCCGCGATACTTAACCGATTTTAATCAAATTTGCACACCGTGTGCAGTTTGGTCCAGCTTGAGAGATAGGATAGTTTTTTTGCCCATGAGTGACTCACAATTAATTTTTTTTTTTGTGAATTCAAATATTTTTAATAGGACATGACAAAGGGTCGTCGAAAAGGACAGAACAACGTCTGCCTGGCAAACTAGTAAACTATATTATTCTAGGTCATACTCTTAATAATATTTTCTTGCCTACTCTTCCACATTTATTAAATTATTTTATTGTAAATGATTACACATAATAAATAAATATTTTTTTAGAATCATCTTTATTTTTTCTGGATTATGAATCGAAATGCAAATCGAATCGAATCGAAGTCATTTCTGAGGACTAAGATGTAGTACTTTGAATCTAGTAAAAGGTTCTCCGGTACTCTACACCACCATACGGCACACAGAAGCATTGATTGGGAGAACGTTATATATATATATATATATATATATATATATATATATATATGTAAAAGTTACAGCCTATATACGTCCCACTGCTGAGCACGGGCCTCCTCTCATTTCTGAGAGGATTTTAGGGCAAGCAAGTGTCCACCGCGCTGCCCCGATGCGTGTTGGCGAACTTCACATGTCTTTTTCTTATTTCTCTGACATGCAGGTTTCCTCACGATGTTTTCCTTCACCGCCGAGCACGTGGTAAATCAGCACTTAAAATTGCAATTAACAATTTCATTGGTGCCGGCGGGGATCGAACCCGGTTTGCTCGCGTACTGTGAAATTTACAGCGAGCGCTAACCATCTGAGCTACCACGGCTCCATATATATATAACCTTTATAATATAATGACTAATTTTAAATTCAACTACAACATGCTTTTAAAATGACGCACACAGACTTACGAGGAAAATGTTTATAAAAGGAATGACTCCATTGGTAGGGGTAACAAAAATGACATCACAACCACATATTAATATAATACAGAAAAGTAATTTTATTAAACGTATTATTAACTTACAAAAATTATTTTTATAAATAAATAAATACAAAAATGGACTTGACATTAACGAAATTGTGTATATGCCATAAACATTCAAATGATGGAAGAATTTGCCAGGGGCTGTTTTGGGCAATCGATTTGAGGTCTAATGGAGCCGTGTGCAAGGATAGGTATATCACATTTTTCTAAAATCTACGGCTTAACTGATCAACTGATGTACATTAAGGTCACATTATAGTTTTTGGTGGGGGTGATTAACACTTCATGCCTCAACCTCTTCTTCTTTTACCTTCTGATCTCCTGGCTTGCCCTTGGACCAGTCTGGCTTTTTCTGTAGGAAAAAAAATATATTAGTATAACCACTATGTATTTCATGATAATTGAGAGCGATTTGTCTTTTCCTTCTTATAAGCATTAAGAAACGTAATAAAATTTTTATTCCGTCGATTCAACATCCATTGATATTTGTGGAGAAAAATAAACAGAAATTTCAGTATTCTTTACTTTGTATTGTGCACTGACGTCACAAGATGCGTATAAGACAAATCACTGTCAAACACTATACAGCATATTATAGATTAAGAACAAAAATATTATACCATTGACTTGTGCATATTCTTATTTTTTACAATATTTTCTTAGCTTTATATATAATATGCTATAGGGGTTCCATTCAGGCAATTTTACGTAACGCGTAACTAATACTAACATACACTACATAATAAACGCGCAGTCAAAGTTATAATTATATTTTCATTGTAATTATACAGGCAATGATATGCAAAAATCATATCCAACTCATCTATAATAAATAAAAAAATGATGATTAATAGTTGGAAATATACAATGATTTATAATTCATTACTTCGACTGCGATATTATTCTGGACCATATAAATAAATTCGAATTTGGTACACTATGTACATTATGTCAACTTAACAGTCTTACCAGAAGTGCTCAAAGCCACGTAGTGTACAAATTGCAACAGTAAAACTAAGTTGCAAACCAAAGTCAAAAATTCTATAAGCGCAGCACACTTTGAAGCAGTTTTTGTACATATGTTCAAATTTTGCAATGAAGCATATTTGGTTCTAATCTAAGTGATGTTGTATGTCAAAAACCAATGTCAGCATTTTATGTAATAAATACGCATTATTATGTAATAACCAATTACATAATAAAAACTGCAAGAAAAAATACTAACATTGGAAAGAATATTTACAGAGTGCACGGACCTTATTCATCTTAAAAATAAACAAAATGGTTTTAAAATATTGAACTCTATAAAAAAACGAACGAAAGAAGTTTGAAACAGTGATTGAGCTAAAAATATGCGGTCACTAAGTAAATTTATTTCGGTACTCTAGCCGTACCGATCTCCATCTATAAATTGAACAGAACTAATCGCCATTCTATGAATGGTTCGATGCCAAACTGTGCTAAAAATAATTTGGAACATGCTATTGTAAACAACTAATCTAAAAACGTCTCTAACGTGTTCTTCTATTGTTCCATTATTTACCTTGCCTGCACCGCCAGCCTGCGAAACATCGCATGATATTTTTAACAATAGCAAAATAAATCTAAGCTCTAATGTTATGGTTCTATATAAAGTTATCAGAGAAATCTGTTTAGCAGTAAACAATTCTCCTTCTCATTATACTCTATAGAAATTGTATAGAAACATAATAAAACCATAAAAAATATGCAAGTCCTGTTTACTGTAGGCTTCGTATGCCACACAAGTATCACAGAAATTGACCTCTACGAATAAGTCGACACCAAGATCCTTATAAAACCGAATGATCGGGTTAGTGAGATCGTTAGTTGGGAATATTTCATGAATGATGTGACGGTGTACGTCATATTGAATCATATAATGTTAGTCACAATTCTCATCACATATGTACATGTACCTAATACACCTACGTATTTACTTAATTATTAAGCTGAAAATTCAATAAGATTTGCAAAGCTTCACGGGGAAGTAAACAGAAAAATAAATCTCGATTCTCAAAATATCAAAAGTCAAAATATACGCTTCAGGATGGGGAAAATGTTATGATAGTTTTCCAAAGCAATATGTATAATGTAGGTAATGAAGCGACATCCAGTGCTTTCAAGAAGCTTATTCTCACCTCATTTAGAACTTCTTTGGATTTTTAGGAAACTAAATAATTATTAAATTAAAATTATAAATTAATTTAATAGAAAATGTACGGATAAATTATAAATAGACATCACAAATTCGAGTGGTGTTGAGAATACGTTTGGTTTTAAGATTCGTTACTTCTTGCCGATTGCCCAATCAGCCTTCTCTGCTTTCTTTGCCTGTTGAAATATGAGTAAACGACGATTGTACATATATCCTTACTATATAATAAGTGACGTGTAATATACAGACTTTATTACTTAGCGCTAGTATATTTTGTCATTCATTCAAACGAAAGTAATTTACATGACAGTGACATTTTCTTATCAATTTTCTTACGAAAAAAGAAAAATCGCAGATTGACAAATTTTGACTGTAAATATTTTTCTTACTCTTTGGCGAATATATTAAAACAGTAAAAGTAAAATAGTATATTTAGAGTGAAGAGTATTCTTTACATGAAAATTGTCGTTAACGATTGAAATATGTAGATCATCAAAAATATTATTAAGATTGTAACTTTACAGCTACGATATTAAACTATGTGCAGAAAAATATATATTTCTGGAACTTGGATATTAATAAGACAAACTCTATTTACCTCTTTGTCTTCTTCTTCCAGGGTGAACTCCTTCTTTTTGACAACCTTCAACTGGTTACGGAAGTTGAATTCGGCTGCCTTCTTTTGGAGCTTGGCGAATTTGTTCTCGTATTTAGACACCTTCTTTAGTGTAGGTTTAACGCTATGGTTAGAAAATATACATGTTATTAATATATTTAAAATATCTTAAATAGAAATAAAAACTACATTAATACTTACAATTTGCCTCTAAGGTCGTTGACTTGAGAGTTGAGGTCAGCGATCTAGTAATGTAAATAAAATTAATTTATATATATGGATTGCATACTAAACACAAAGAAAAAACAACATTCTAAGCAGAATAGGGAAGTGGAAAAAGAACCATTTATAACACTATACTAAATGTATTCTAATTTATAGAGACACAAAGGAAACTATTTTATGTAAAATTACCAAAGGTAGAAAAATTTAAAACAATTTTAAATTCCAGAAGGCTATATAAATGAAAATTTAAAAAAGTCATGTAAACATGCAATCCAAAAAAGATTAAAACATCTAGAAAACATTTAAAGCTAGAAATAAAAAGCGTATAGGATGTTGTACATGTCAGTGTGAAATGTTAAAAGAAAAATATTATCATAAAAATAGCGATTAATTTATTAAAAAAATTAAAGAACTGGGCGTAAATTAGGCAGTGTTATTAGCGAGCTGCAAAAGTAGTAAATTTGAACAAGTTTCTAAAGGCTGAGAGACAGCTAGTACATAAAAAATTAAAAAGATTCCACGTCCTAGACTTTATTGCCTTTGACATAGTATCTGCTCTTTGTACTTAATCCAAAATATCTAATCACTAGTTATATGATTTTATGTTTTGTTTTTTTCGTGCAGTCTAACTACATACATTTTATTCGGTAGCTGGCCGCGTGCAGCACCTGAATACATTTGGATTCGCAAAACTATACTATGTGCAAAAATTTACATGTGCATTAAAATTTTGAGCGCTAACAATATGTTACTCCTTAAACGTTGGACAGCCTCGATACTTTAAAAAGAGATTCAATAATCGATTTTCCCCAGCAGATATATAACATCAAAAATCTATTTTTTGTGCACAACAAATACGTATATTATTTACATAGATACATAAGGTTTATATATACATATATCTTTACTTGGGAAAACTTGTTTTTATGTTTTAAAACAACACTGTGCATTCATTCATTCTCCAACTACCAAAGTTGTAATATATTGTGCGCTAAATCTATTGAACTTAAACACATATTTTTCTTTACTCAAAATGACTACATGTCGACCCCCAATTTAGATGATCATAATGTCGCAAAGATGTGTAAAAGTGTCACGGTGCAAAATCGATCACGTAGATGATTACATTATGTGAGCGATGTTGTGTGTTTGAATATAGATGAACACGCCGTGTACAGGCTCTGTGTCCGATTTGGTGCGATTTAGAAAAGTGTACTAGCGCCACCACCTCGGACGTGGCAGGGATAGGAACGGGCAACATCGGCCCGAGCATGGCACTTTTATTTTAATACACTCAAAGTCCACTGATACAGGTACTAATGTAAAGGTTGCGGGTTGTATCTTAGTAACCGGACACGCAGACAGATTGCGTCGTAAATAACGGATCTGAAAGTATGAGATTTGGAACAAGAAGTTTCACGTTTACTGTGCACTTGCATGTGCCATTTGAGGTACTAATCTACCGTTAAAATTGTTACTGCTGTTGTAATGATTACAAAAAAATAAAAGTCAGTAAGGCCATATTAAAATCAGAAACACACAAAGCACCAAACGACTCAACGCAGCGAAGTTCGGTATCCGAATCTCTTTCTCTACCTCTACAGTCGGATATTAAAGTGCCATACTATTTCAAGGACATTTAGAGGGTAGTTTAAACTAAATTGTTATAATTAATTCATGCAGTAACTGTATTCAGTTAGGCGAGAAATATTGTCATACCGATTATCAATACATACAATACATACGATACAGTATAGCAAATGCGTGAACGATAAAATGTAAGTACATACAAAAGTTGAATAAGTTATGCTCGCATGCATTGACTGCCAACGGCTTTGAACGCGGCGCTTCAGTGGTGAAAAATGAAGTGTTAATGTTACCCTGATGAGAGTTACTATAGTTAAAGTAGTTAATTGTGTAAGTCCCTTATTGAATGATGCACTGCCAGCGACAAACACAGGCGTCGCAGTCACGATCGATTTTGCACCGCACGCCTCACCGTGCCTGGCCAGTCCGCACGCGACACCCTATCACACGCACACACCTAGTCTACCAGTACAGCACTAACAACCGCGCGTCAACCGTTATTTACAGTTCAGGAAACAACCGAAGACTTTTAAGCATCATAAATATAACAACACGAACTGTCACACGCGCACGTTTGTTACAATACCGATGATCGTGATATTCACAATGGTTATAAAGTATCGGTCAATACCTCAAAATCTCTTTTCCTGACTTCATGTTCCAAATCCCACTTCTGGCCCTCACACAAATACATGCGGTCATAATACTCCTGTATTATTCTCTTGAGCATTTCTATAGAAAAAGAAATATAGATTATTGAGCCAACGGAATGATCATGAGCGTTTGTGTGAATGGGCTACGTCTGTCGACGGATCGACGTGTGCATGTGTGCGATGAGCCGTAAAACTATCATGTCATGTCGTAACAACTAACTCAGTATTAAAATAATTTCACGTTATATGCATTCCCAATCCTAATATGCAGATTACCTCCATTTTCTTAATTGCGTTAGCACGTTCTAGTTCATATTTATCCCCCTCGAGCTCGTATATTCTTTGCCAGTACATTTGACATATTGTCTGCAGTTCCGCTAAAGAAAAACAATATGAAATTTAGGAATAACATAACATCGGTAAATAGTTTGCCGCCTCAAATGTCTTTGGGTAGTTAGCTGCTACACGAAACCGAAAATTTATAACTGGTGTACAAGCAAAAGCGAAGCTATATGATAATAATTAAATAGGACTCAATATATCAAAACTTGTTGGCTATTTTCACTATCCGGTTTTGGAATAACGAATGTTATTATTATTGCAATTAAAACTAGTAACTTCATCAATCAAAATATACATGTTATTCACATTAGCTAAGGCTTGAAATTATATATATTCTTGTACGTATTATGAATGAATCGGCTGAGAAATCAAAATTTAGTTCTAGTCACATAATCGGCATGAGTTTCGCAAACGAAGAGCGTATTATATAAATCGCTTAGTGCCCAAACCAAATCAGACCTCGAGCGCTTTGCGGGCCACTTCCATCTCGTGATCGTACTTTTCTTCTTCGAGCTTGATGATACGCTGATGGTAACCGGTTATGATGGTTGTAAGAGCAGCTACAACATCAACGAAAATTACTCTCGTTCTGTTACACAAATTACTAGTCCGTACCAGCCTATCCCTAACAGCCGATCACAGCACAGCGCATAAAAAGTAAGCATAGATGTAAGTTTCAGATAGAAATCAAATAAATTTAAGAAGTAAGTATAGTAAGTACTCGCACGATAGATCGACAACGCCAGAGATAGCTTCAAAGAAATGATAGATGAATTAGAAGGTATAAGAGACCGAAAACTGTAAATAAAATCCAGCGGCAACACTCATTGGACTGCGTTATCCCTTGTTAAATAGACGCAATAGAGAAAAACGGTATTTTGGCATATCACAAAGTTAAATGAAAGTAAGGTTTTGTAAGTTTTGTAAGTTCATCAAAAGAGAGCGCTTTGGTAGCAACTCATTTCGCTACCTCCATATCTTTCCGTTTAACGATGTATTCCAGATCGAATTTTTGGTCTTCGAGTTGGGCGATGCGGGTGTGGTATTCTTTGCAAATCCTCGAAAGAGTATCTATAATGCGATATACATAACAATTAAGTGAATCAGTATTTGACAATCACAATTCGCGTATTGTCACTTTGTACAGTGTAATGATCTTTGAAAAATCGTAGCATTGCTTCATGTCTTTTTATCTACAAAGGTATATCGAATAACTAAAAGTTTGAGAATAATTTAAACTTATTTAAAGTGCTACACAGTAACATTCAAATTAACTCTCAAAAAGATGATTTACCTTCGTTTGCGTCATCAATGTTTTTGGGTTTACCGCACCTCTCCTCGATAATACGCCTTCTTTCGGCCGCTTTGCGTTCCTGTTCCTTCTTTAATTCTTCAGCAGCTTTTTTACGCAGCAACAACTGTCATAGAAATCAAAGTTTAAAATAAACGCTAAAAATCACCATAACATTGTATGTAAAGTAGTATATAAGTAAAGGTATTTTCAGTAATTTTACATACTTGGGTTTTCTATCAGTCTGAAACGGTATATTCATAGCACTTTATTTGATATTTCGTACTTGTATATGCGACAAAATATAAAAATAAAGTAACTTATTATGTTAAGTCCCTTCTATCATCGCGTGGTATTAAAGTCAAGAAAAAACTTTCTGGAATATTTTTTCTGTGATCTTTTTATCAGATATGTTTCGGAGTATATATATATTGCTCCATTGATACGCGATGATAAATATGTACTAAGCGAAACATGGATACTATACTTACCCTGAGCTTCTTCTTTCTTTCAGGTGTCATGAAACCCTTCTTAGCCTTCTTTGCCTTGGAGGCTTCCTCCATGCGCTTGCGCACCTCAGCACGCTTGCGGTCGATCTCGGCCTGTTTGGCCTTCTTCGCCTGAAGGAAATCACCTTAATGCTAGTTAACGTCTAACATAAAGCCCTATGTAAATTAGTAGTGTCAAATCTTTTATTACCCATATAGTTCATATAAATCTAATAACATATTATTATTACAATAAAATGACATGTTCCAAATATTGTATATCATATTGCATTAAACAATAAATTGTTAAAGTGATATAATATTTAGTTAAAAAATAACTTAAATGAGATATAATGACTAAATAAATAATAATTCAAGATATTTGTTTCGACTTCTTTACCTCCTCGAGACGCTTTTTCTGAAAAAAACAAATAAAACAGAATTAGTACACAGCTTATTAAAGGCTCTATATCTGTAATATTATTATATATTTACTTTGGTTATTTCACATATTAAACATTAACAACATCAAATAACATCAAATATTTATAAAAAAGTGAATAAGTTTTAGCGAATGTGCACAGTAAAGTTTTAAAACTGTAATTAATACAAATATATATTTCAGAGCATTTGTCATTTTATTAATGTGCTGTGTGAGTATTGTGCCACTGGGATTATATGGATTTGCCCAAAATATCAAATTTTATTACTTCAAATCTACAAAAGTTGCTTACAACAACAGAAGGTAATATAAGTAGTAAATAAGTTAATAAATTTTTTTTAATATAATTTTAAGCAAATTCTTTACAATTCCCAGATATCAAGCGCGTGTATTGCAGTGTTTTGTTATGTAATCAATAGTTTAAGTGATTGTTAACTTGTAATTTAAAATTATTTGGTTTAATATACATCATAGCAAGCTCTGTGACACCGAAAATGTTCGACAAATTCAATATCTTGTCCAGATGACGACGATATTGCAAAGTATTCACTTACAATACGTTTACCAAAGTAATAAAACTCTAGCTGTAACAGAAATTTCACATAAAATGAAAGAATGTTTTCTTTTTTATTTATTGTCTTCAAGGACAAAGTCTCTTGTTCCGTAAGAAACACAAATATGTTTTTTTATCATTAGTTTGATCAATATAATTCATAGGCATTTTCAAAATAAATGCCTTTTTTAAAACAAAGTTGTTACTACTTTTTGAACTTCTCATTTTCGTTAAAATAGTTCATGATTGGTAGGTATTGGTGTATCATGTAAGTAAATTTTGTAGGTAGATTAGTAAAAATTAGTATTTACCCGTGTCTCGAGGAGACATCGTACTCAATACTGTCGTATTGAAGTATCGATCCAAAGAACGAGGCAGTCCAAATTGCATGAGAAACAGCGGGTTGGAGAGTTCAATGAAACAGAATAAAAAATAACACATTTTGTTAGATAAATAATAACGTAAAATCCTTTATAACTATGTTTGTAACATATTTAATGTTGATCACAAGCTTAAATGGTATTCGAACCTGAAGTGGTAATTCATTAGAGATGAAACCTCATACGAAGGCTATCAATAATATCATAGAATTTCTACTTTAAAAATGTACACAGTTCCACTATTTACAACAAAATTACAAATATGAAATGTATACGATACTTCTATTATATTTAGGACGGCAATTTTTTCCAAGAAATTCACTGAGGACTCAATCTGTAGACTGTGACTTAATATCATTTAGAATGTAATTTAAATGTTTCATCATTAGAGTAGCATCGCGCTGTGGCCGTACTAACTAGACCGTATAGTGGCGATTTAAGAATATCCACTACCCCATATCCGTGGGCTTCGTAAGAGTCGACAAAACGGAAGCAAACACGGAGATGGACAGCGGCGTCTTCGTAATAATAACTGAAATGAAATAAGAAAATTGCGGTGGCCAACCCGCCCGTTGTTCTATCAAAGAAGTCCTTGTTAAATAGTGAACTCTAGATAAGTTAATAATCATTATCATTAATATCATCAACATCACTATCAGCATCATTATCGTTAGTCCGTTAGTAGTAAATAATAATAGTTTACGGCCAAACTGTTCTATATTTAGCTAAGAATTTGTACTGCTATGCTGCATGTTGTAGTCAATTCTTGTACAGAACAAGTTTTCGGAGAAAATGGCACTTTTAACACCCAACTGTTTTTATGCTGCCACTTACGTCCATCTATGTAATTTACATTCAATAAACATGACATAGTCTTACCGCTTATCAAAAGTCACATATACTTTAGAGTTTCTACATCCTAAATTGACTCTTACGACACCACGTTTCTAGGTAATTGGAATATTTTTTTCCTATGTATCCATCTAGGTAGGCACTATACTCTTGATTATTTTCGCCGCAGAACAGTAATGCGTGAACTGCTGTATTTCTGTCTGAAGGATATTTAGTGCCAGTTTACTGTGAGCTATTCCATCTATTTTTATAGAATAAAGGCATCAAACACAGACGCCGTCCACCTGTGACACGTATATACTGTGACGGATAGATATCTAGATCTATCCTCGGTTAAGAATCAAAATGCAAATCCGTTGTCACCCTTGAGGACTGAGCATTAAGCTGCTAGTTTACGCTGGTATTCTGTGAGAGCATGGTCCTTCTCCTGCAGCATGCCTCTATCACGTACACCTTAATACCCAGGATATATATATATATTCTTCCTTTACAGACATCCATACGCTAGTAGCTGCTTACCGTCAGGTAGACTGCTAATTTGCTTGTCACTTACATTTTTATAAAAAGAAGTGATATCATGGTTTCCTTTACACGACTATCCTACAGTAGATACTAGTTTTAAGTTAACCAAGTGTCGTTCAACTTTCATTATTCATTTATTGCAAAATTAGAATACTATTCTAAAATATGTTAGATATTTAACAAAATAAAAATTTTGAAACTTTTAGCTAGGGTCTTACCTCACTTCATCATCCGCCATTTTGTTTGTGTTGGTTTAGGTGTCCTGAAATAAAATCAAAGGGCTTTAAGTACAAATAAAATAAAATTCACCAGGTACTTTAACAGAAAAAAAACTCCTTTTCTGCCAAGAAGTCCGTTTAAGTAGGTACCACCACCTTTCTATCTACCTATTCCTGCCACCAATTAGTCAGTGCTTGGAACTCTGTGTTCTGTTCCGTAGAGTTTAGAGAGTCCGTATAATTACCGACTGTGATGCATTCCATCTTTATTCTCAGATTTGGCAATGTACCTTCTTTATTGTTTGAAGTTAGTTGCAGATGACCATGGACTGCAGCTGCCACTTACCATCAGGTAGATTGTAAGTTCACGTGCCACATCAGTTTTGTAAAAAATCTTTTATCTCTTTTCTTTCACCTTTGTGTAAAAAATTGTTGTTGATTTTTAACAGAAATATTCTAATAATAATTATCATAGTATATGGCCTTATTACCATAATATTTACTATGAATGATGTAAAGTTAAGTAAAAAGTAAAGTTACAGCCTATATACGTCCCACAGCTGGGCACAGGCCTCCCTACATTTCTGAGAGGGTTTTAGTGTAAGGAAATGTCCGCCGCGCTGCCCCAATGCGTGTTGGCGAACTCCACATGTCTTCGAAATATTTTTTTTTCTTAAAGAATGATGTAAAAATTATAAATTATCAATCATTTTTCACAATTTTATTCCAATAACTAAAACAGTATATGTAACTGATCTACAAAAAATAAAATATATGTGATATCTTCTTTTCAGTTATATCTTTTATTCTTTATATTTCAAGGTTATCAAGCTGAGCTCATAAGCACGAAGAAAAGACACCCGATGGGGAACATAGTTCTACAGTGGCACCCTCATGCCAGTAAGCAAGAGTAGGACAGCCTCCAGTAGGTGAAGGGACAACCTAGTAAGACATGCAGTAAGTCGATGAATGCGTGTGGCTTAGGACCATACTTTACGGTATTCCTTATTCCATATATTCAGCAGTGAACTTTGGCTGCAATGATGACGATAATGATTTCAAGGTCAAGGCCTCTAGTAACATCATATATGCATGTATAAAATTTCCCAATGTCTATCATTATTCCGGATAACCCACTTCTAAAATAATTATTGTCCTTTATGTAAAATATCCCTAAAATAAAAATCTCTAAACGACTTTTTAAGATAAACACAGGGTTAATGAAAATTATTTGGCATAGCCAATAAAGAAATAAAAATAAAAATATTAGGGATGCGTATTTGGCCAACATCTACTAACATTAGTGATATATGAAACTTTTTGGCTCTCGTCCAATTCGCTATCTATGAGTGAAATAACTGACATTTGATACCGTGAGTGCCAATTTATTATTTCTTCATTTAATTTTTTATCTTTTATAATTTTTACTATTCCGTTTCTATTAATAACAAACGTGTTTAAAAAATTACCATATATGATAACATTCGAAATTCGAAAATATAATTATAAGTAGCTAACGCAATTTATTTTCTGACATTGCTTACAAAAGAATTAATTAATTGAAGCTAATACAATAAGCTTCGTTCATATTCGTAGAGCATCGTCATAATTCGGAAGGTACGCGCGAGACTGAAATAGTTTGGCTCGTGTAACGCGTAGCGCATATCCTAATTTGGTTTCATGAACGACCTGCTTCAGTTACACGGATTTCAGCTATGACGCAAGACATATGCAACGCGACGTATGTACTTTTTCCCTTTCTTTATTCGTTTCTATTAAATTGATTGTTTTATTACTACAAAATTCAAGAATGATGATGACGTAAACATAAATCACTTTTGACTTATGACAATTTAACCTTTGTTAGATCTAAGTTACATGTATTCTTATACTTCTAATATCTGGGTAACAACACATAAAATATTCATTTTTATAATTTTGTTAGAAAAATGCCAAAAGACGAATACGTAAAAGTTGATATCCCGTTTCTTCCATTGATAAATTAAAGAAGCAAGTTTACACGACTTTAGTATTACATTACACACACGTGACTTCTACACGATCTCGAGGTTCCGTTGCACCAAAAACGTGCACCACTTCACTGAACATATAATCACTTAACTCTTTACTTTTTTAGTTAGTAGAAATATATGTATCACCACTCACCTACGGCACGAAAAAGAGGATGGCCCTACAAGATGGTTCAGCCAACACGAGCCACAGTTGCTGACTGGCGCTGGGCGGGCGGCAAGGTGCGGCGGGTAATGCGTGGGCGCCGATTCCCCCGGGCCCCACACTTCCCTCCCCTGACCAGCGTTTGCGCATACCCCGTCCCCTCATTTTACTCTCCTGCTTTCCGCACAGACATTTTTAGAGCAGTGTCGTTTTGACACCATCACCGAAATAACACAAGATCCGAGCTCCAGTTCCGAGCTAACAAAACTCGTAAATTTTGAGTCGAACACGCTCACCATGTTCACAATACATACATAATATCATCTGATATCAAGAAAAACCACGTTATGATTCCCTTTCATGTAAATATAAAGGTCATTTATTACATTGGTAAATTTTAATGTTTAATTACTTGACTTTGCGCCTTTCAAAGAAATATTTTAAATTACTTGAGCATAATGGTAAGAAAAATTAAAAATATTACGTATTAGCACGACGATAAATTAACATTCAAGCTTTCAAACTTACAACTCCCCAATAATGTAAAAACAGCTTTACTGTTTTTAAAAAATCACCATATATCGCTATATCATTTTCGCAGTTTGGAAAGATATTCATCTTTCTAGAACTATAAAGATCACATAAAAATCAAATAAAAATAGGTAAAATGCAGACGTATTTCAAAAAGGGTTTCCGGTCCTCGTAACTAACCATACAAAAGCAACAGAATATCTTGAAATTTTACACTGGTATTCTATTACCGTAACGGCACGAAAGCGAAAATATTCCATCCGTTGCAACACTCACTGCACAAGATGTAGATGCCCTTGGTCATCAAAAGAAGTGTCACCAGTCATACTGCTCCGCATTTCAATAGACGCGAATTTTATATTATCATCAATCAAGAGCACTGTCCTGCTCCGGTTGATATCTTATATACTTTAGAAAAGTTTTTTCTGTGTTGGTTCTTAATGGATTTTTGATAAACCCCAAAAGATCTCGTTATCACATGGCCAAAATAGATGTACATATTATTTTATTGGCTATAATGATTTGACAAAGATCATTGAAAACAATCATCAAGCAAGCTTTTAAGAACGCCGTGGAATAATACGGGGCAATAATAAAATGACTGCATAATGAACTCCATCATAATTTTCCATCCTGTGAGAGGTAAATAACTTAGAGAAGATATTTAGATCCACGGAATGCTCAAAAATCTCAAATTGCCTTTTATAGTACCATACATTCTAGGTTGCGAAACGGTTACCTTTTAAATGAATTGCCTCACTACAAAACAATTCAAATACAAGGTGGTATTTTTTTGTGCCTTGGAATTTTTCTGTGTGTAACCCTTTTAACCATTTCTACCGCTAAATAGCAGTGCTTTCATTGTTGCGCTCCGGTATGGAAAGTATAAAGAGAAAGCTGTGATATAAGAGATGAGTAAGCTGAGAGGTGTCTATCTTAGTCTTTAAGGGTGACAATCCATCTGTAGGATTTATATGAAGCTGGCTGCAGGTGTATATAGGCTGCAATAGGCACTAACCATTAGGTGGACTGTAAAATTGTTTGTCGTTTCATTAAAAAAAAAGAAACCTGTCAACATTCCATTATTTTAAACGTATAATAACTATAAGTACTCGTAGAACGTTTTTGAATCGAGTCGCACGTTTTGTATTCGACAACAAAATTGATTTGGTTAGAGTTATGTGTAACAAAGAAAGATTTAGAAACTAAAACCAACACTACCCCGACTGTTATGCCCCGGGGAATGTTAAAGCTCATTTTGCCATTATCAATGCGAAGCACGTAACTGCAGAAATGTAACGCTCGGTTTATGTTGAGATAGGGAAAATTGAGCAAATCTCATATGCATTTACACATTCCTAATTCAGCTTTTGCATAAACGTATTTCTATTACCAGTCGCTATCTCTGCAGCTTCACATGGCGCTTCAATTTGCAAATGGCGTCTCTTGAAGCTTCTTATCTAAACAGTCATGTGCCACTAGACTAGAATTTCTAACCGCTACAGTTGATAATGCTGTCCCAAGTTATAATCCTGGGTCGGGCCAAAATCAGTTATTGGGATTTTTGTTAAGAAATGTTCAGTAGCTGCCCGGGGTTAGAAAGTTCGCATTATTTTACCCCCTGCTTCGGCAAACAAATAAAGCCATTTATGCGGCGCATGATTTATCTCCAATCGTGTCGGATTACCATCCCATCGGACTATCAAAGTAGAGAAATGGAGAGTACACCTTCGATAGCGCACGATAGCATACGTGCGCTATAATCCTGTTCCACGCAAGTGGCTCAGTGGATGTGCCGGAGTCTCCTTTGATACTTGTCACTGAAACCGAAATTCGTCCGACCGAATAGCGACCTTCAGGTCGCTATCATTATTATTCTGTCAAACAAATTATTTACTTCAAAATTCAAAATTCATACTCAAATTTAATATTTTAAACATGAAAGAAGCTGATTAAAACTACTTTTACGGATTTTATCGCGTTTATTTTTACTTTTTATTTACTTTTATTTTTAATTCCCGACGTTTCGGGCGCTTTCCAGCACCCATGGTCACGGGCTTACCTGTATCTCCCATTGTCGCCGATATATTCATGGAAGACTTTGAGGAGAAAGCCCTCCTTACTGCACCTGTTACACCAAGGATCTACAAGCGGTACGTAGACGATACTTTCACAATTTTACCATCAGACAAAGTAACTGCATTTTTAGAACATCTTAATTCCATAAACTTTAAAATTCAATTTACTATGGAGTTAGGGGCAAATAATTCCTTACCTTTTCCTAGATGTGTTAGTCATCCGAAATCCTAATAAC